AAAAAAAAAAAAAAAAGAAGCATTGACTGAATTTGGCTGAAAAGAGAGAGATTTGATCCCTGTTCTCTTCAGTTTATGGGGTTTTTTCCTTGCCTATAACACAATTATGCTGCTCCACTTGACAATTCCTAATCCTCCTGTATGATGTTTTAAATGTACTAATTACCTTGGAATCACTGAGAATAATTGTGCTTCTCTTTGCCTCGTGGTTGGGAAACTTTTTATTCACAATGGAAGTGAAAATCACTTTTACTTACAGAAGGTTTTTTGACACATGAACCAATGTAGGACTGAACAGTCAAATAACCCAATTTTTAATTGAAATCCTTGACTGTTGCAAAGAAAGAACATGAAAACCTTCACTAGATCTTAGTAGCACTCTATGAAATTTGATTTTTTTTTTTGAGACACTGGCAAATTCCTGCACCCAGAGCTTACCTATATTCTCCTTGCATTCTTAACTTTGTTGCTGGCATTAAATACGGTTCATTGGAACAAAACAGAGTCTTTTGGTAGCTCAGATTTCGGGTATTTCAAGGTTCCAGCTGCAGTTTACAGAACAACAAGAAAAGCCACCTTTTTGCCAACAGAAAGTGTTTAAATTTCCAAGAAGCAGAACACAGGACTAAACTTTTTCTCCCAGTATAAGCTGGAAATTCAGTAAACACGAATCAGTGCAGTTTTTGAGATTTGGTTTCCTCATTTATACCTTGGGTCTGACTGTACTTCTGAAAAAGCAAAAAAAAAAAGAGGTTTTTGATGAAATTACCCTTGTGTGATGCAGATTTATAGAATTTTTGAAACCTGGACATGTACAGAAAATTGTTATTGTATTAAGTGACCTGTAAATTACCTTTTTCCAGACAATCAGTGGCATTGATTAACTGTTCCATATTTATTTCACTGAGTTATCTCCTGACAATTTTCCTTTATGCCAACCACTTGTAATAAGGCCCATCCAGATTTGTTTCCAATGAATCACTTGCTTCTTTTTCCTTTTATTTTTTTTTTTTTTTATTTTACTCAGCACTCTTAACCACAAAACTATAACTTGTGTCCCATGAACAAGTTATAATTGGGACTCTCTTTGGAAGCCTTGTCCTAGGATGGAAGCTATAGGAATAAAACTGGTTTCTCGACATTAAAAAAACCACCCCAGATGGTTTGACCAAAGCTTCTTGTATTTCTGGAAATAGTAACTGTTCATTCTCCATCCCAGCTTCAGGATCTGCCTGAATTCTTGGAGTAAGCACAGAATTCCTGCTTCCATTTTCCATCTTTGCCTTGAAAAAGAATCATCTATTTAAAATCTTAGTGAGCTTTTCAATCTTACCTGTCAGCTGACGTTATTTAAATGATAAATGATAGTAGTTTTTCTTCATTTTAAAAAGGAAATGTCAAAATGTGTGACACTTTTGTTGTATTTCACTAACATAGAATGCAAAGGTCCCCCTCTAAATTTTGATGGGGATGAAAGCAGAGGTGTTACATGAAGGAATGTAATTTTTTCTTTGCATCAAATCATCTGAAAAACCATCTCGAGGGAAATAAAATGAGGAATGATGAGCATAATTTAACTAAACGAGAATTGGACTTGGGTTGACAGAAATTCGAACAGGCGGATTTATTTAAAAATACCTAAAAAACACCCAAAAAAATCAAAAATTACAGGTACAATGCAGCGTGGAAGAGGCAGGGGTGGGGCCATCACGTTGTGAATATGCAGCTAAACAAGGTCTAGCACTGAAAGCTGCATTTTTAATACTCAGTTTGATATTTTAGGTGTGGCTGTGCCAGCTCCTGGTGGCACCGTGGGCTGTGCTCACTCGCTGTGTCCCGGCCCACGAGAAATTTTTGCACTATACATCCAGCTGAAATTTTTCTCCTCACAAAAAAAAACCCCCAAATAATATGTTTTCCTGCACAAAAAAAAAAGCCAACACAAAGCAGATTTTAGAAGTGGCTCTAATGCAGACATTTGCATGCAGCTGTTCCCATCGGCCTCCTCAGCAACTGCTAAAATTAAACAGGAGCAGATTATATTTGAGCTTAAAATTGTTATGGTGTCAATAAAATAGCTGTAGGTTTTGTGCAAAAAAGGTTCCAACTTTTGCATCTTTCTGTGGTAAATACTGGAATGTGATTTTGGAGTAGTTTGGCTGCACTGTATTTAAATATATTTTGGGGAGCCCAAACAGGCTTAGGAGCTGAACGTTAAAATGTGGGATATTTCCTTCGTGTTCTCTGCTGAGGGAAATTGGATTCTCCCACATTATTTCTTACTGGAAAAACTCTGTGTGTAATTTATGGACAGTAACAGGAGCACTTTCTGTAGCTTTTGCTTTGGTCACGAAGCCTCTCACGTGTCAAAATCACTGCTCAGACCCCTCACCCTCAGCAGGAGCCGCCACGATAAAACTCTGCAGTGGAGTTGCACAGGAGTAAAAACCTCTTGGTTTCACCAGCTATTCACTATCCTTAAAAATGGCTGTAGTTGCTGTGCTCCCAAGCCACTAACTTTGCCTTTTTTTTTTTTTTTTTTTGTGTCTGTGGAGTTTTTCTTTGGCTCCAGTGGCTGTTTTCAGACCCACCTGAGCCGTGGATACAGGGATGTGCAGCCCACATGGCTTAGCTTCCTGCTGGGAGGAGGAGGAGGAAGAAATTAAGGAAATAAATTAAAGGAGGAAGTGAAGGCAGAAGAAAATTAAGGAAATAAATTAAAGTGAGGAAATTAGTGAGTGGATTTTTACCTTAATCCAGAAGAAGTGCCCTGAGACAGCTCGGTGTGCTCGAACCGTGTATTTAACGAGTCAGATTCATTGTGTTTTTTTCACGTAATTTCTTCTGGCTGGTTGGCAAATTTATTAATTTCTTTTCCATTTTCTGTTTTGTTTTTTTGTTTTTAGTTTGGAAATGAGGAGCAGCAGCTGGCCTGGGCCAAGAGGGAGAGTGAGAAAGCAGAGCAAGAAAGACTGGCCCGGTTGCGGAGACAAGAGCAAGAAGACCTCGAGTTGGCCATCGCCCTCAGTAAGGCTGACATGCCAAACTCCTAAAGAGGGGCTTGGGCTCCACCCCATCCAAGAGAAACCTTGGAAAATGGCTTTTGGTAAAAATACTAAACCCTTGGTTTCTGTTGTGAAAATAATTTTAGTCACCTTCAGATTTAAACAAGACCTGGCTGGGGGCGTCCGCCCGGGCTCTGGGTGGCTTCTCTCAAGTGCATAATCTGCAGGAAACACTGTAATAAGCTGTATTATATGTTCTAGATACAAATTTATTGCTTGTAAGAGATGTAACGTATAATCCTGAGATACTGAAAGTTTTCTTTTATCTGGAAGACAAGTGTTGCACGTAGGAAACTGCAACGTGTGAACCTGGCTTTTTATAACCTGAATTCCACTGGGGGGTTGGAGGCTGCAGGGTGAACTTCAAAGAAAACGTCATAAAGAAGAGAATATTTACACAATTAGCTTTCACTTGTTACGTTTATTTAATAATTCATGGTAGCCTAATCAGTTTGTCACCTGCATCATCTGTGTCAAAGCATAAATTCATTATTAGATGGTCCCTTTTAATCCAGAAGATGTGACTTTTACAAAAGCATCTAGCAGTTTATATATGATGGATACAAACAGTGGGCTGTGTAAAAGAGTACAGACTTGAAGCCTTTATGAATGAGTGGTTCTAATTTAAACATTTGTTTGCGTTGAGTTTTAATAATTGTATGTGAGGTGGTAAAAGAGGGAGTTCCTTCAGCTGTAGTAAATTGGACAAATCATTTGGCAGTTAAATGATGAAGTAAAATTTTGCTGTATCATAAGCAAAGGGTGGTGATACACGTTTGGGTGCTGCTTTCATGTGAAATCAGGAAATCAAGCAATGGAAAAATGGCTGAGTTTGAGGAGTGCCCATCCCTACAACCCACTGTACCCTCATCTACTCCAACGGCAGCACAACAGCCTGGGCTGTGTCCCCACCTCTGCTTCTTTAATTCCACCAGTCCTCTGGGGTTACAGATCCAACCTGATTTAGCTGAAATAAGGCCAAGTTGAATCAGTTTTTATTTGCCAAATACGTATTCACACATAAGTTCTGGCAGCACTGGTGGTCTGGGTTGGCTCTAAAATCCAGTTTGCAGCCCCCAGAGCAGGTGGGGACAGGGTTTCTGTGCACTGACTGCTTCCACCTGGAAAGGGCAGCACAGCTTGTGTCTGACATGTCATACAAAAAAACAAGGCTGTGAATTCTTTACTTACTAAAAATGCCTTTTCTGATTACAGGAATTCTAAAGCTACAGTTGTCTTTGCCTTGGACTTTTCTGTCTCATAGAGTAGGGAACCTACCCCAATGTTTTTACATGTCCTCAGTCTTATTTCCTGCCCTGTGGGAATACAAAGCTTAACATTCTGGGGTTTTAGTGAGGCAGCCCTTATGTTACAACATTTTCTCAGTTTTTTGGGTTTGTTTGTTTTTGTTTTTTTTTTAAATGTGGTATTCCTTCATCACCTTTGATGCATTTCTGGTTTTTATGTCCTTGCTTCAGTTACCTTTATTTTCATGTTACAACAATAGTGCCTGTTCAGTGGATGCAAACAACCTCTCCCTGCTGTGCTGTGATTGCCTTATTCTGGATGCTTTCCTGATGCAGAGATAGGAATCAGACTGGATCATTTTAAGCATCTTGGTAGTTTTCAGCTCTGAAATGCAGCCAAGATGTGGCATTTGTGGTCTCAGGCTTTGGGGTGGTGGGTGAGTGTGCAAACACACACATCCAGCCACCTTTGGGATGCTGTTTTTAGGAGTCACAATTCCCTCTTTGCTGTGTGTCTCCTGTGCTAATGGTACTACAAATAATGTGAATCTTTAATTCCCCTCAAAAGGGGAGAAGATGTATTTCTAATGTCAAAACCAACCATGTAATCATCTTTAATACTGTCCTTTAATGGCCCCTCTGGGATGCATTTCTAATTTTACAGAATCTGATTTGAAATCCCTTCCCATTGTGGTAATTTTTCTCTAAAATATGTAGGATTAAATGATCAAACATACTAAAATGTTGAAAAATTCTCTTTTCTGTTGGTGTGCAGGGCTTGAAGTCTCTGAGAGCAAACTTGGGTCTGCTTGTAACTAACATGAGATAAAAAGAGCAATTTTCAAAAGCAAGTGGCTGCAGGATTCCCAGGGAAGCTAAACAAACTATCCATGTGTAAGATTCTCCTTCTCACTCGGGCCTGAGTCCTTGTGGGGTCTCTTTTGCTACAGTAAAAGCCCCTTTGAGAAAGGAAACCCACTCCTGGAGCTCTGCTGGGATGGTGTCACTCCAGTGGGACAGGGTGGATGACTTAATAGCTTGATTAATTTTCAGAGTTATGCACCATAACAAGACTTCCTGCTGCTTTGTCGGGGCTCTAAAATACTGTAATTTATAATTCTTCTAAGGCAATGGGCTGGTGTTTTCAAGATGTTCAGCAGGAAGGCAGAAATGTGAATTAATCCAGCATTCCATGTAGTGTTAGGGCTCATTTTCCTATTTCCTTATTGACTCTTCCTCATATTTGCCTGGACAGTAACTGCAGATCAATGAACCAGGACAGAACATGTTCTCTATGCACAGTGTATTAGATTTAGGAACCTTAAGTTTACTGAAACACTCTTGATTCAAAATGTTGGCACTGCAGTAGAAGAAAACTTAGCTGTGATTTCTCCCCTTGGTGTTTAATACAGTTTTCCACATAAAAAAAGGAAGATTCCCCACTGTGTTTCCCTCTGCTGTAACTCAGTGTTTGTACAATACCTGCACTTGTCCTTTAAGGCAAAACTTTAGTGCCAGACATTGGTCTTCTTCCTCCAGAACAGTGAAATTTAAAGCACAAACAGGCCTGTTGCTATTTGAGCAGAGAAAATATGTACAAGAGCTGGCAAATGTGAGTATCCCCAGTGCATATACAGTGTACAGTGAGATCCATATTATCTGTGTCTATGTGTATATATATATATATATAGTGTATTGTATAATGTAATAATAGTGTGTGTATATACTCCACGTGTCCACATGCTCTGTCCAGTATATAGTTCTTTGTGCTGTACATAAACTGTGTATATACAATGAATATGTGGAATATGCAGATATATTCTACATATTGGAGCTGTGTGTGTGTGTGTGTGTGTGTGTGTGTGGATTCTGTAACCAGAGATGGGCACAGAAATGGAATTTGTACAGAAACACAGGTTAGCTCGTGGCTCTGAGAATTTCAAAGTTCTGGTGAAAGAAAGAAAGGAAAAAAAAAACCAATCCAGGAGAAATTATTTCTAATCGATTTGTTTTGATATTTCTTTCATTGGCATGAAAAACTGTGTTTATTAGCTGTGCCAAGTGTAGGAGAAACCTGGCAGAAAGTAGGAATCATCTGCACTGGATGTGATTTCACATTCTTTGGAGTTTTTAAAGTGTCTTGTGGAATCTGGGCTCAACTGCTGATCTCACATGTGATGCTCGTGTCATCTTTTCTTTTTTCTCTGGGCTGAGGCAGTGAGTTTTCTCCTCCATTTGCTTGTAGTTTCACTTCTCTCTTTCCTTTTTTTTTTTTTCCTTTTTAAAAACCTATTTTTAAGGAGCTGTTCCCATACACACACACATCCCCCAGACAGTCACAGGCAGAGGTGAAAAACATGTTTTTCTTGCTTCATTCCAGTTCAGTTGGTTGCACATAATTGTCATCTGGATTCCAGCTCTGTTTTTCCTCCATTTCCACTTCAGGAAGGATTACCCATTGCTTTCTTGGCTTTGGGGAAAGAGTGGAGGTGATTCTACTTTCTAACTAAAGATAAATTGAGTTAGACTCTGTGGTACCTTGAGCAATCACTGAGAATTGAGCAGGTTTTATGGTGGCACACGTGTGTTTTATGGGGAATATCAGCACTGGGATGACTCATGGAAAGGCCTGGATTGCACAGAACACTGAGGCACAACAGTTAAACAGGCCAGACAGACAATTCCCCACCTTGGGCCTGCACATGCACGTAGGACACAGGTCCTGAGTTACCACCCGAGCCCTCCCAGCCCTGCGTGCTCACATTTCCCTCAGTCACCTTCCAATTGTCTCCTTGTAAAACCTCCCAGTCATCCTGCAATAAAACCAGATGCCCATGAAAATCCTCCTTCCACAGTAGTGCTGGATGAAGTATTTTTATGTAGGCACATTTTTTCCTCGTGGAGCCTCTGCCCTGTGAGGGCCATCAGTCCTCCCTGGGTTTTGTTCCATGTACTGTGCCCTCAAAGTGTAGGAAATTCCAAGCTGTGTCTGTGTAACCCTTTTTTTTTTTATTATTATTTTATTTTATTTTAAATTCCTGTCTGTGAAATCTGGTGGCAGAAATTTTGTAGAAGTTATTTTGTCATCTTATGCTCAACAATAATGCACTTTTCTTGGATTCTTCTTATAATCCTTTTGGGGTTACTATTTCTTCTTTAGTGTTTCTCCATTGAGAAGAATATTTATTCTGTAGAACTGTGGCCCAAGGAGTTTTGGTCCAAGTAGAGTTGTTGCTTTCCCTCATGTGAGAGTTTGATTTCTCCTTTCTTCTGCATTTTTTTTCCTCCCTCTCAGGAATTTCATTTCTGTTTAATCCTTGTTTAGAGCTGGAACTCTGCTGAAGTGAATTGATCTGTGCTATTAATGATCTAATTCAACTGTGTTCCTACACTGGTGGAACAGCCAAGTTTTTGCTGTGTGTCAACCATTGCATCTCTTTACACTTCACAACACCCATCTTTTCTTAGAAAGGAATTTTGCTTGGAGTGTGGTGGAATCACAGATTTATTTTTAGAGTAAATATGTTAACTGTTATTCATTGACACACCTGTTTGATCAGTTGATATACTGCTCTTTTTACTTGAAAGTTTTATAAATAAAGGCTAATTTGTTATAAAATGGAATTTTCATTTTTCCAACTTCTGCCTTCCCCTTTAAGTTTAACTTCTAAAGGAAAACTCACAGTGACTGTGGTTCCTCCTGCTGTTACAATTACAGAGTCCCCTTCTGGTGTCCCTTTTAATATTCTCCAGACTGACCTAAAAAAGGTGGAAACACAAAGTGAAAGCTGCAATGTTGACCTAAATTTGACTAATATCTCCAAATATGTACATTGTTGTAGCTATATTTATCTTTCAAATATCATAACAAATTGAAAGGTATTTTAATTTTAACCCATCTCATGTGTTTATTGTTTAATATAATAAGAGAATTGTTATTGTTTAATATAATAAATGAAAAGTTACTTTTTGGAGCTCTGAGACTTCGGTGATCGTTCTTTACTTTTTTTTTTTTTCTTAAATCCACACTTTCACGAGTTTTTGTGTCAAATTCATGAATCTTCCTTTGAGCAACCACTGGATCCTCTGTGTGGGATCTTTTTTGTGCTGTTTTCCCTCCTGTCCTTCCCTCTCTCCCCCGTTCCGGCCGCGCTGGAGCGGCGCAGTCACAAAACCCGGCGCCGCGCCCTCCCCAAAACAATTTGTGTGTGGCAACGCTGAACATCCACAAAATTTACACTGGGAGGGGTTGGAGAGATCACCAGGGACTGCCTGGAAAAACACACCTCACTCTCGGCCCCTTCCACGTTATTCACTTTGACTCACTGTGCTCCCACTGTTTACTGGCTCTGCTCCTGCACATCGAGCAAGGGGAGCACCAGCTGGGCTGGTTCCAGCAGGTTGCCAGGGCAGGTTGGTCTCCAGCAATATTTTTGGAGTGTTGACATCCTGGAGCCAGGATTTGGCTGCATTGTGTCACACGCAGGCACGACTCCCAACCCAATTCCTCCCGTCCTTATAAAACAGGATGAAAAGGGATTAACTTTCCCAAAACCTCCTTTCCAAGCACAGGGAGAGCAGGAGCAATGAAGTTTTCATTTACTCTCTCATCACCCTTAGCATTAGTTACCTGCTCCTTTGCCTCCTCCCATTATAATTCTTTTTAGCAAATCAGAACTTTTCTGCCCCTTTTTGGTGAGCATAAATTCCTGGACACGGAAACTGGAGGTGAATTTACCTGGCCCAGGTTTACAATTAGATCATCTCTTATGAAATCACGGCCCATGTTTTGCTCCCACTCAGATTTTTGGGGTCTGACTTGCACAGTGTTCTCATCCTTAGGCTTTCCCAAACACTTCCCTAATCCTCCTTGTCCGTGCTTAATCCTGAAGGACCCCCCTGTACCCTGTTCCCTGGGAAGGGATTTATCTCCATCCTGCTCAGGAAAAACCTTTACAAGTGGAAACTTGAACCTAAAGGCTCTCCAAGCTCCGAGCCCAGCTCTTAAACACAATTGTACCATTTGCTGAGTGTTCCCAAACACGCCCCAGGCCCAGCTCTCCTGGTGGAACTCGGAGCTCCCGGAGCTGGGCTGGAATTGCCACCAGGTTTATCTCAGGAATTGCTGAATGCCCGTCTGCTGGAGGTGACTATCAGTGCAGTCACTCTAAGTACCTTTTCCCTCCTGTCTGGCTGACGTTTTTTTTTAATGTAATGACAACAATTAAGACTTTTTATTGGTGCTGATGCAGCGTCTCTTGCAGTTGCTGGAGCCTTCCTTATTGATGAGATCTCGTCACACTCTGCAACAGCAAACATCATATATTCCTGCTGTTTAACTTCCCATGAATGTCCTTGATCACAGTTTTCAGAATGACAGAGTCCTGTACTCTCTGCCCAACCCTTGCACCCACAGGAAGGACACCCAGGCTTCCTATATCCCTTATTTTGCAATGTAATATAAAATCATTAAGATATCAAACCCCACTTGTGCTGTCACCGTGCACAAGCTGTAAAAAAAGTGGTTGTTGGGATTTGAGGATATTTTTCTGTGTGTTTTGTTTTGTGTTTAAGCCTCAGGCTCAGTAGCTTCTCACTAACATATTAAAATATATTAAATTTCACAGAGGATCATGTCCAATGTGATATTCCAAATATCTCCTGGTGACATAATGATATGTCAGAATTCCAGGAATGCTCTGAGCTGTAAGAAGTGCAAGAAACCACAGTAAAAGTGGTTTAGAGGAATACCCTATCTAATTAGAAACCTGTGCCAGGTAAGTTCACCTGCAGTGTCCGTGTCCAGGAATTTATGCTCACCAAAAAGTGGCAGAAAAGTTCTGATTTGCTAAAAAGAATTATAATGGGAGCAGGTAAAGGAGCAGGTAACTAATGCTAAGGGTGGTGAGAGAGTAAATGAAAACTTCATTGCTCCTGCTCTCCTTGTACTTGGAAAGGAGGTTTTGGGAAAGTTAATCCTTCTTCATTCCATAAAGCAGGTGCTTATGGCTCCTTTATTGTGTCTGCACTAAATATTGTAAGATCAAATAATTGTGGCTGAAATGTCAGACCTCAAAAGATTAAATCAAACAGATTTTCTGCCTAAGAAGTTTAGGAGGAATCCCTACACCCTCTGTGTGCTGAAAGTGGAGGGTGCTGGTTTATGGCAGAGGCTGTTCCCAGTCTCAGCTGGGAATGGGATTTGTGGGATCAAACAGCTTTAAGGAGCCTCTGGGAATCAATAAGTTGGGCTAGTTACCTCCAGGCCCTGGGAACTGAGCATGGCCACGTGCTTTAGGTTACTGGTGTTTGGCTTGTAAACCCATTCCCTGTTCTCCAAATCCATGGGAATCCTGTTTGTGCCGAATCCTGGGCCATGGCAGAGGAGCTACTGCAGGGCCAGAGTTCAGGAACTCTGCCTGCTCCACTCCTGGCACCCAGGACATGTCCTGGGCAGGTGGGGCCTGTGGCAGACCCAGCTGAGAGCAGCTGCTTCAAGGACAAGAAGGAATTTTAGGGTTTGTAGGTGCCACCAAGTAGGTTTCCGATGGTAGCAACAGGGACAGCTTTCTCCCTGCTAAATTATGGGGGGTTGGGGTTGAATTTTCCTCTCTCTGTTTCCCCCCAACACTGCTAGTTGCCATAGCAGTGGCTACATGACTTTGTTGTAGTTGTTTCATTTAAATATAGCAAAAGAAATTGCTAGAGCTTGGGATTCTGGCTTTGAAAATTCAATTTGAGCAAAGCCTAACAGCTACTCTGTGTTAGAGGTGCACAAAATAGCTTTAGAAACCACAGAGCTTCTACCACAGAAAACCACAGAACCACACGATCCTATAATTTGAAGAGTGGACAAACTTTTTTTGGCACTTCTTGTGGATGGAGGACTGAAGTTTAGAGCCAGTCAATGTTTTCAGGCAGTTTGTAAACGGCTGTGAGTAACCAAGGGCTCACAGGGGCTGAAATGCCTCGTCCC